CCCTCCCACCCCCTGATGAACCTCCAGTGATTGGCTACGAGGAAGCTCAACTTTCTTCCACTGAGCTGGGCTACAGGAGGGCACTCTCTTAGGCATAGAAATCTCCAATCTCTGCCCTCAAATGCTCTCAGCTCCACTGTGCCTTTTATGAAGTTGCCTTAAATACATTTGCAGAGCCTTAGTCTACATAAGGGTCAGATTCCCTCCAGTTGCTGTGTATAAATCATACCAGACTTTCAATATGTTCCAGAGCCCATCTATCTAAATGAAACTACTAAGGCAGAGGATCATGGTGGTTAAGAACAATGGGCTCTGGAGCCATACCACCTGAGTGGAATCCCACCTCTGCCCCTTGCTAGCTATGAGACACTGAGCAGACAACTGAACTTTCCAGTGCCTCAGTTTTCTTACCTGGAACGTGGGAATGATAGGAGTACCTATCCCCTTAAGGGTTCTTGAAGATTCAATGTGGTCATACACGTAAAGCACCCTGGGAAATGCTAAAAATATATTACCTAGCCCTGTTATTCCCTTTGTGAAGTAAATGATCAATCACCTCTTTGACTAACCTGCAAGTTCTACTGTAATGCTGAGCATACAGAAACGCTCAGTAAAGAATCTTGCAATATTATGTCAAAGGGTTAACATTTATAAAACACAAAGAGCTCCTATGAATCAATTAGGAAGATGAATTCATTTTTACTCTTGTGGTTTTGTATAAAGACTCATGAGATCATTTCATCTCATCCTCTCAAGTAAGAAAACTGAGGCCTAGAAATATTTTCCTAAGGTCATGTAGCAAATCAGTGGCCAAGTCAGGAGCAGAACACTGGGAACCTAATTTCTGCCAGCCCAGGGGTTTTCTTTGGTTAATTGATCAAGTGAGCTTGATTTAAGAATGTGGTCTTCCAGGTTAGCTCAGAACCTCTAGAGTCTCAGAACTAGGCTTTGGAAGAGATACAACTCTCTCAATTTTAATGTCTCCTAACTGGTATAACTCTGTTAATGCTAATTATCTTAATCATAACCCTTTTCATGTGTGTTTTCCATCACCCACAAAGCAACAATATTTCCCTTATCCTATCTGCTTCTGAAAAACATGTTCACTAGTCTCACAGGGAAACTGAGGTGTGGGGAGGGGAAGTGGCTTGTTCAAGGTATTCTAGCTAGTCACATGAATGCCTCTTCTATATTTACAATTTTGTCCTAATGACTCCGCCAAGAAGCAGAAAGATAATTTTAGCAGTGGGAAATCTGAGATAGGAGGCTAGCAGGCTTTTGACAAGGTCTGAAAGGATACACCTGGGGTCCAGGCTTGAAAACCTAACTTAAAACTGCCTGGAACTAGCTATGAGACAATTCACGACTATTACCAATTCTGATCCTAGAAGCAGGAGAACAAAACAAGCTTTATGGAAAGGCCTCAGCCTGGTACTAAAGGCTCTTCTCAATCAAGCCCTAACCTTGTCCAGCCATGTCTCTCAACCTCCATGCTTAAACTGCACTGTCTGACTCACTGGACCCCAAAATACACCATGTATTTTCCTGTCTCTGGGCCTTTGCTTACCCTGGAATGCCTTCTCTTCCCTTCCATTCTCAAATATGACTCACTCTTCAAGATGTGCTTCAATATTCACCTTCTCTGGGAAGTGATCCCTGTATCCTTGGGACAGGCTTTGCTTTGGTTCTTGTAATGCCCACATGCTGTCTATCTGAACAAGTATTCGCCAGTGTTTTCCTGGTCTGTTTCTCCACTAGACTGTGAGCTCCTTAAGGATAGAGACTGGATCCAGTGCAGGCCCTGGCTCAGAGGACCGAGTAGACACTTGCTCAAAGGGTGTTTGTACAGTCCACATCTCTCTGCCACAGGTGAGATGAACACGTGGACAAGTAATCCCAGTTTAACAAGGTAAATGTTATAACAGAGAGCTGTGCAGGGGATTGGATGAGGGAACTAACTTGGTATGAAGTAGAAGGTGGCATCTAGAAAGGTTTCTCAACCTTGAATTGGGCATAACAGGATAAGCAAAAGAATGAAGTCCCCTCTGAAAAGGGCCAATGAACTGGTGGCAGAGAATGGGTTCACCTACTATCAGATTCTCACTTAAGGCCAAGAGCTGAGCTGTCTAAAATGGGGCTATCTCCAGGGAAGAAAAGCATATAGTGTGACTTCCCAATGCCTACAGATCCTGACCCCCACCAAAGTATGGGTGTGTGTGTGTGTGGTGGGGGAGAAATCCCATTTAAAGCAGCATTAAGACAGTACTGATGGATAATAAAATCACAAATTAGGTCTCCTTATTGGTAATTCTCGGAGTGTGTGGGTGTGAATGCATTTGTGGAGGGCTAGGATGGGAGGGGAGATTGGTCCCATGCTTACAAGCTACATACATATATATGAGCATCAGGCCTTCTGTGGCAGCAGCCTAGGATCCACTTCCTTCTCAGCCACTGCCCAGGTCCACCATCTCCCCACTATTTTTTGCCTCATGCCTGGGCCCCAAAGCTCACTGAATTCTAGTCCTAGAAGCTCTCCACAGACCATAGTCATTCAGGGAAAAGAGCAGCCAGAGGGTTGTGGTTGGTATTGTCTGTGGAGGCTATAGAAAAAGCAGGATCACTAATCTCAGACAGAGCAGGGGAAGTCCTGAAACATCTCCAAAGAGTTTTGGTTCCTGTTCTCCCACCCTTCTTGATCTTCAGACAGCTCTCTGAGGGAAGTAGGCTAGGGACTTTGATTTCCATTTTACCGAGGTGGCTACTGATGCCCATAGAAGCTAGAGAGCTTGTTCAAAGTGCCACATCAAATCAACCCTACTTTACACATCAGTGGGGAGGTAAGGGATATAATCTCAATCACTCAGTTCATTCAAAACTGGACTAGACCAAGTTGAATAGACTTCCAAAGGTGCTAGGGAATTGCCCCTTGGGTGAGTGTCCCACAAAGGCAGGCCAGAATGGATTTAAAAAAAATAGATAGATTAGACATAGATATCCCCAACTTTCCCATATTCTTTAATACACATTTAAACTGACCATCTAGGCAACAAAAACTCTCCAGAGATCCTGAAGAATGGATATGGATTTGTGTAACTCCTGTCTACTTTTCCTTCTTTCTCACCTACCTTTTCTCCTGAAGGCTTTTTCTTCCATCGTTAATTATCCAACACTCGGTTTTCTTGCATTTACAGACCCCCAAAGCAGGGCCAGTGGGTGGCATTAAAGAGGGAGCTTGGAGGCGTTCGTTGGTTCCCTGGGAAAGCTGAGGAAGTATCCTTGTTAAGGGGTGTGTGTGTGTGCTCTGTTGAAATATCAGCTGTTGTAGTTGCCAAAGAAATTCCTGAGCCACCCGGAGCCTTTTCTCTTCAGTCCAACCATGTGTTCACTTTGCCCCAAAGGTCAGAACTAATATTAACAAGCCACAGCAGAAATTAAAACCAGCTATGGAGATAGGCAAGATCTGAGTTTTAAATCAGTCTTCAGTGTAAATGGGCACAATCTCTTACTGGAAATCAATTTGGCGATATGAAGCAAGAGCAATAAAAATGCTCATTTCCTTTCTCCTAGTTATCCCACTCCTGGGACTCAATGCTGGGCCAATAACCCCCAAAGCATGAAAAAGCTCAAGACACACAAATGTTTATGTTAATTACAGAGCTATTTTCTGATGGCAACAACTAGTAGGTAACCTTTAAGTCCTCCAGGAGAAAAAGAAGTTCACTGTGTCTTTTCTGTAGCTACTGAGGATGATGACTCTAAGGCTGTGGAATTCTGGGGAAAAAATAAAAATAATTATGCTGCAAGTCTGGGTGAGGAACTTAAGTTATGTTTTTCCCTGGACATTAGCATGCCCATTATTTCTATATTTGTGCTCTCAAAAACAAGCCATAAGCCTGTTGATGCTGTTGCTATTGCCCTTTGTTTTTCAGTCAACAAATATTTATTGCCTCCTAATATATGCTGTGTCCAATATTAGGGGATGGAGCTAACAAGATGAATCAGACATGGTCATTGCTCTCAAGTCGCTGACACTCTAGCGGCAATAGAAATAGAAATCAATGGTAGCTGTGCATTGTGCATTGTGCTGTGACAGAATGGACCATAGGGTGTTGTGGGGGCCCAGAGAAAAAGACCTAACTGGGGAGGTGTGTGGTCAGTAAAAACATACACAGTAAAGTAACTTTTGAGGTAATATGGTTTGAATCTTGGCTCTAACACTTCTGTGAGACTGAGGTGAATTCACTGAAATTCTCCTCTTACTTATCCTCAATGCCCCTTACTGGGTTGTCCTGAGAATGAAAGGAGATGAGGTATACAGAGGAGCCAATGGATACATCGGAAACAGTGCTGCTCGGGGGCTTAAATTCTCTGGGCCCGGATTTTACTTATCTGAGAAATGGAGCCAAGAGCAAGTATGTGTCTGGCCACATTCTTCTGAATGCTATGAGGCCCAAGAAAATAACAGCTGTGGGCGGGTTTGAGACAGCCCCCTCTTGTCTGTCCCCTGCTCCAATAAAGCCAAAGGCCCTCCTCCTAAGTCTTATCCCAGTAGTGAAGTCCTCAGCATTCCTTCCCTCCTCTAACTGCCAAATTCCCCTCACCCCAGCCCAAAGCGAGTACACAGCTCCAGATACTTCTGGGGCGCAAGCGCCACAGCCATCTGCGCACTTAGGTGGGCGGTCCGTCGCGCTGGGGGCGGGACTTCGGCCGCTGCGATTCCGCTCAGGGTTCCGCTGCTTAAAAAGTAGGGAAAATCCCGCTTGTAAGCAGCCGGAAGCACCAAGGGGACTTTTGAGCGGGGAGAAACGCGGTCTCAGCTCTATGAGCCAGCGTGCAACAGGAGGAGCAAGAGCCCAACTGGAGACCTTCCTCTTGCCACTCATTCCTTCTAGGTATCCGCCCCCTTCAGCTTCCACCCAGTTCCCCTTCCCGCCAACGAGAGCTGGGAAGCTCGAAGCCCCGCCTCGCGTGAGTTTCATGGCACGCACGAGAACGCCTGCGCAGGCGCGCACGGGAGGCGGGGCCTGGCCGACTTCCGCGCGGCTAGCCGTTCACTCGTGCTTTCTTTGGCCGGGGCTGGGAGGTGTTCTAGTTTGCTAAGATGTTGCGTGTGGTGAGCTGGAACATCAATGGGATTCGGAGCCCCCTGCAAGGGGTGGTATACCAGGAACCCAGTAACTGTGCCACCATGGCCATGGGGCGCATTTTGGACAAGTTGGATGCGGATATCGTCTGTCTCCAGGAAACCAAAGTGACCAGTGAGCACTCAAGAATCCAGGATCCCTGTCATACTTTCCCTTTCCCGCTAACTTTTGCTCCCCGCTCCATCTCATTTCACTTTCCCATTTTCCTATTCTTAGAGTCCTGCCCTTTCCCTACCCCCTTAAGCTCCCATTCCACCCTAGCAAGATTCTCTAATTACGATTTCATCTCCTGTCCTAAGCAGAAGTTTAATTCCCTCCCCGTCGACACCTCCATATCCACTCAGATTCCTGCGTTTTCTCTGGCCTCAACTCAGTCCCTCGAGTTTCCCTCCCCCATATACTATCTCCCAACCCCAAGTCAGACCTCTCAATTCTCCATCCCTGCCCCCAGTTCAGATCCTTTAATTCCCACCCCATTTCTCCTCCCCAGCTCAGAGCCCCACCTCATCTCCCACCCCAAGCATAGACATCCTCTAATTTCCTCTCCCTCCTATCCCATTCTCAGACTCCTTAATTCCTTCTCCCTCCACCCGCCCGTTTTGATCCCCAAATTTTCTCTCTTACCTCCCACCCTTAGTTCAAATTCCCACTTCCATCTCCCATATCCCCATTTCCCACCCTCAGCTCCCTCCTATCACCCACACCCGCAGGCTTAGCTCTGATTCTCTCTACCTCAACCCTCCATAATCTCTCCCCCTCCCCAGTCTTCTAATTCTGGTATCAATTTCCTCTTTGACTTTTCTTATCTTTCTGGCTCCTCCTATAATCAATGATACTTAATTTTCCCTCCCAATTCTGTCTCTGATATGTGCAAGGAATTATCCTACAGCTGTAATTCCAGGCCTCTCTGTGTCCTGGATCCTAGTTTTACCTCTGACTTAATCTTACATTTTTTTTCCCCAGGGGATGTGCTGACAGAGCCCTTGGCTATTGTTGAGGGCTATAACTCCTATTTCAGCTTCTGCCGCAACCGTAGTGGCTATTCTGGTAAATGGGGCTTTCTGGGGACTTTAAATTAGTGATGGAGACAGGTAGAGGGATAGGGTTTCCAATATTTGATAAGGTAATAAGAAATTTAGACTTTAAGTTTACAGAGCTAAAGCCACATATTAAGTTATGTTAAATATGGTTTTTATATATAAAATTATACCATTGGACCTTAGAAGTACAGCAGTGTGGTGGTTAATTGTGTGAACTCTGGAGCCAAACTGCCTGAATCATGTTTGAATCATGGCTCACTTCCTAGCTGTGCACCCTCTTGCAAGTTATTCTACCCCTTTGTGCCTCAAGTTATTCAGCTAGAAAATGAGGATAATGCCTACCTCCTAGGGCTGTTACAAGGATTAAATGAATTAGTCCATGTGATAATAATAGCTAATACTTTTTGAGCACTTACCATGTATTAATGTAAAACCTAACATTAGCTGTTATTACTCTGTGGCTTTTTTAGATGAAGGAACTGAGCCTCTAGGGTTTAAGTAGAGTTACCTCACACTAGGGAGCCATCCATGGCCCTTGAGTTGGGAGAGTTGTCAATGCATAAAAAAATAAAGAGCCACACTTTATGAAGATGACTCAGGTGACCTGTGTGGGGACAATTGGAATGGGACAGGCTATGCAACAGGCTGTTGGCTGCCAGATCTACTTTGCATACCCTGTCTGTCCCCAGGTGTGGCCACCTTCTGTAAGGACCGTGCTACTCCAATGGCTGCTGAAGAAGGCCTGAGTGGCCTGCTTGCCACTCAGAAAGGGGACGTGGGTTGCTATGGAAACATGGATGAGTTCACCCAAGAGGAGCTCCGGGCTCTGGATAGTGAGGGCCGGGCCCTCCTCACACAGCACAAGATCCGGTAATAGACCATGTCCACCTGCCACTGAATGCTGCTGGTGCTTCTCTAAATGTGGAGATTCTAAGGCTCGTAATATAAACATATATTCACCATGGAGAAGTTCCCAAATTTGCTTTTCCTGGTGTCTAGTCCTATCTAGGCTGCTCACTACGTGACCCCTGCAAATCATGTTCCCCTCTGAGCCTTGAGTTCCCATCTCTACAGTGTCAGGGCTGGCCTGATGGTCCAGCTCTTATTACCACAGACACCTCAAAAGCAACTTAGCCAGTGCTGGACTCTTTGCCCCAAGTTGCTCTCTTTCTGGGTGTCCTGTCTTTGTGAATGGTAGCACCATTACCTGGTTTACCTGTGTCATCCCAGATACACTTCTCCCTACATTGCCAGTAGGTAGTCCATCCCCAAGTCCTGTACGTGCCAGCTCATTTGTGTCTTTCTAACCCCTTCCTTCTCTTCCATCCCACAGACAACCATTAAGTGGAAGCCATGTGGTGTGGGGAGGGGAGGGGAAGCTTGAAACTGACCCCTTTTGGGGGATTTCTCTTCTCCCTAGCACACAGGAAGGGAAGGAGAGGACCTTGACCCTAATCAACGTATACTGCCCCCATGCGGACCCTGGGAAGCCTGAGCGGCTGGCCTTTAAGATGCGCTTCTATCGCTTGCTGCAGGTCCGAGCAGAAGCCCTCCTGGCGGCCGGCAGGTACTGCAAGCCTGGGCAGCAAGGCTCCACTTGACCAGGGTGCCCAGCCATGTGTCATGCTCCATTGGAAGGGGTGTGGAACCTTTGTCTTTGAGTCCTTCACAGCCTAGTTGCAGGGACTGGTATGCCCACCTGAATAGGCCCTGCTCTCTTAAGAGCTGTGAGGATGAGGTAAAGCGAAACAAACATGGGTTTTGTACCCTGAGCACCTCTCCAGGCTCCTGCTCTTAATCATTGTGAGCCCCAAGGCTAGTCCCGCCTTTTTTTCCTCTTTTGTCAAATGAGCATATTAATCTCTACCTCACAGAATAATTTTAAGGATGAAATGAGATGAGGATGGTAAAGTACCTGGGAGCAAATTAAAGTCTTATTCCGGGGAGGGATGGGAAAGTGAGGGTGGGATAGAGGAATCAAGGGATGCTTCCTAGAGGAAGTGGTGCCTGAGCTCAGCTTTGAAGGATGAGAAAGATGCCATTAAGTAGCGAGCACTGAGGCAGTCATGTAGAACAGAGAACAGTGTCACCTTTCGAGGTCAGGATTGGATTGGTCAGGTATGAAAGGCAGCAAGGTTGTGGTAAGATTGGAGCGGTAGGCTGCTCTGAGTAGCTGTTGGCAAGGAAGCCTAATGTCAGAGGTGGCCTATCAGAGTTCTTGGCCCAGGAAAAAATATGTGGGCCTGGACTACTGTTTCCCTTTATTGAATGTCTAGTTGATAATCCCATGTTGTATTTTTCAGCCACGTGATCATTCTGGGTGACCTGAACACAGCTCACCGCCCCATTGACCACTGGGATGCAGTCAACTTGGTAAGGCTCCCTCTAGGCACCTGGCTTCACTCCTGACTATGGTTCTACTCACCCAGCTAACCAATGCTGGGTTTTTGGCCCAGGGGCAGCTTCTTTTATGGAAAAGCAGAGATTAATTTGAAATACTATTCTTGTAGTACTGAGGATTGCTCATTCATTGAATAGACATCACTGACCCTACCCTTGCCCTGGCCCTGAGCCATATGCTGGAGACTGAGGAGTCAGATCCAGCTCTTGGCCCCTCGGAGCTCTCTGATGGGCTACAAACACGTGGCCAGCCAGATATAGAATGGTATCCTTAGGGCTGAGACACAGATGGCATCCCAGGAGGCTAGGGGAGCTCAGAGATGGGATTCCTAGGTGAGCCTGGACATCAGGGAAGGTAGCTGAAAATGGCTGAATCTTAAAAGATGAGTACAACAGAGGTTTGGGGTGGGGGAAGCAAAGAATTCTAACATGGGCAAAGGTTTCAAGGTGAGAATTTGCCTGGTGTGCAGGGGGGACTGCAGGTCCCATTCTTGTTCTGAAGGAGGTGAGTGGCAGAAGGTCAGGCTGGAGAGTCCTTTGGGGGCTAGATTTCAAAGGCCTTGAATCCCACATTGCCTTGGTCATTTCCCTAATATACTGTTTCCTGCTCATGAACCTTCAGTAACCTCCATTTACCTCTGTGATCCAGAGAAAACATGGAGACCTGGCATTTAAAGTTCTTTTTAGTCTGTACCCCATCTCCATTTACATTCTCAGTATCCCTACCCACTCTGTTCATCCTCTCCAGATAGGTTGCCTCCTCTTTACCCATTGCAAAAGCTATTCTCATTCTGGCGTTTGTCACTGTGCTCCAAATTTGTGGACATCCTTGCCCTTTTGTCTTTTTACTTATGTGAACCTCTCATCTCTAAGTCCCTCTAGGCCAATGATTCTCAACCCCTGACTGCATATTGGAGCAGAAATATCAATACCTTAGCATCAGTCCAGACCAATGAAATCAAAATTTCTGGGCATAGGACCCGGGTAGTGGTATATTTTAACAGCCTCCAGGGTGATTTTATTGTGCACCTAGGCTTGAGAACCACTGCCCTAGAATCTACAAGCCAGTTCTCTTCTTGGCCTGCCTCATGAAGGGGGATGATCAGTAACTTATGCTAGCATAGTCTCACTGAGCACTGGGCTTGGTTCAGAGAATGGGCCACAGGAAGATTCCTTGATTAGTTTGTGGAAGAGCCACATAAACATAGATGTGGCTCCCAGGTAGGAAAATGAGCAGAAAGAAGAGAATGGTGGTGGTGGTGGTTTAGGGGGCAGGGAGGCAAACATGACAAAGTGCGAGCCTTCAGGCCCCCAGTGCCTCATTCCTCATCAGGCATTCACTCCATCTGTTCTTTTGGCTTCCTGTGTTAGCATTGAATACCTTTATGCCTTCTCTACTTAGTTCAGAGCTATCCTAGATCTCTCAAGTATACCTCCTTCATTTTTCCTTCCAGGAAAAGAGAACTAATAGTACCAGTTCAGGTGACATACACAGACATTCCACAGTAGCAGAACATGTCCACTTTACACCAGACTGGCTTTTCCAGTCTTCTTGTCTCTCTAGGTGGGACCATCATCCCCTTGGTTGCTCCAACTAGAAGCTTGAGAATTGTGCTAGAATTGTCCTTCTTCCTTACCCCCCTTCCCATAATCAGTTGGTCAGCAAGTACTGTTGATTCTAGCTTCAAATCACTGCATAATTTCATTTCTCTGTCTCCTCTGCCACCACCCTAGTCCAAGTGACCATCATTTCTTGCTTGCATGGACTATGGCAGTCACCTCCTGCTGGTATTCCAGTCCTCAGTCTGGTCTGCCTTTCGAGTCTTTTGGGTATGCCGCACCTTCCCTCCACAGCCTTCACACCTAAGCTCCAGATCACTTCCCAAAAGGCAACCTCTTTGGTCCCCAGGAGTAGATGAAGTTTCTACTTTGTCCCTAGCATCATGCCTGGCATATAATAGGTGTTCTGTGAACATTTGTTGCATTTATGGGTAAGTGGATTGGATGGATGGATGGATTGGGGATCAGAGCGAAAGGAAGTATTCAGACATGCATCCCTGCAGCCTCAGCTCAGGAGGGAGGGCTGATCAGTGAGGGCTTTGACACACACCACATAAATCAGATAGCATCAGAGGGTATAAAGGAAAAGCCAACAGTCTTCCTAACTCCTAAGCCCAGCCCTACTTCCCAGAGGCAAGCACTTTTAATTTCTTGTTTTCCATTCTTTTGAAAAGCAATTCTGGGAATTGCTTTGATTAAACAAACAACAGACCTTCAGATTTGGTGTTTATGGACTAATGCAAGGTAAATGCAACCTGGTACAGAGAGAAAAACAAGCATGGGCTTTTCAATAGGTAAGGATGGAAATGGAACCCCAGCTATGTCAGTTCTGGACTGTGTGACCTTGAGCAATAGTCCTCTTTGGGACCAAATTTTCTTATTTGCAAAATGAAACAGTCTGTGTCCCTTTCAATTCTGGACATCTAGTTCTGCCTTTCTTCTTCCCTCTCCCCCTCCCCCAGGAAGGTTTTGAAGAGGACCCAGGGCGCAAGTGGATGGACAGCTTGCTCAGTAGCCCAGCCTGCCAGTCTGGCTCCCATGTAGGGCCCTTCATCGATAGCTACCGTTGCTTCCAACCAAAGCAGAAGGGGGCCTTCACCTGCTGGTCGGTGGTCACTGGTGCCCGCCATCTCAACTATGGCTCCCGGATTGACTATGTGCTGGGTGACAGGACTCTGGTCATAGACACCTTCCAAGCCTCCTTTCTGCTGCATGAGGTGATAGGCTCCGATCACTGCCCCGTGGGTGCGGTCTTGAACGTGTCCCCTGTGCCTGCAAAACAGTGCCCACCTCTGTGTACCCGCTTCCTCCCTGAGTTTGCAGGTACTCAGCTCAAGATCCTTCGCTTCCTCGTTCCTCTCGAACAAGATCCTGTGTTGGAGCAGTCGGCACTGCTTCTCAACAATCAAAGCAAAGTGCAGACGTTCCAAAACAAAGGCCGAATACGCTCAACCAGGTCTCGGCCCAGTCAGGCTAGCTCCAGCAGAGGCCAGAAAAACTTGAAGAGCTACTTCCAGCCTTCTTCTAGCCGCCCCCAAGCCTCTCCTGGCTTGGAGTTGCCTAGCCTGCCATGCATGGGTGCCCTCATTACCCCAAAGACTTCAGAAGAGGAGACATTGACCAAAGTGGCAGAGGGGCAGGCCAAGGCTTCAGAGGCCAAAGATGAGAAGGAGGCACAGACTTCATTCTGGAAATCTGTGCTGGGGGGCCCTATGCCCACACCCCTCTGTGGGGGCCACAGGGAGCCATGTGTGATGCGTACTGTGAAGAAGCCAGGACCCAACCTGGGCCGCCGCTTCTACATGTGTGCCAGGCCCCAGGGTCCGCCCACTGACCCCTCCTCCCGCTGCAACTTCTTCCTCTGGAGCAGGCCCAACTGAACCACCTGAGGCCTGGGGATGTCTGGCGTGGTCACCTCTGCACGTGATCTGAGGCCAGCTCCCTTCCCGAGCTGCCAATGCTGCCTCCAGGCCTCCTTCCCTCCTCTTCCTCCTCTTACCCCTCTCTTCCTTTTTCTGTTCCTCCTCTAAACCTTCTCTTCCTCTCTCTTCCTGCCCCTCCTTGTTGGTGAGCTTTTTGGGCCTTAATCCTGTGACCCAGTCCCCCACCCCACTTCCTACCTTCCTGTCACAAGTACATGGGAGCTAGCTGCCTCAGGAAGTTGTGATTTTAAACCTTTTCTGTCCTTGCTGGGAAATGTATTTATGCATAATGTTTATGTCTTTGTTTCAGGGTACCACACTCAGTGGACGTTTTGGATATACTCCCTAAAGTTGAGTCAGAGAAGCTATCTCAATACTGGGTTTGCCAGGTGCCTGCAGCCCAATGATATAACTTCTAGGGAGAGGGGAGGAGGAAGGGGTGGTGCTTACCATAAAGGGCTCTGCTTCTTTGTAGGGGTTCCCTGCACTGCTGAGTTTGCATCAGTAAGGGAGATGGGCTGTATAGCCTTAAACTGGAACTTCCCAACAAGTGTGTGCCATGGCTGCCACAAATGGGTTACAGGGTGGAAAGAGAAGGGGCCCTCAGCCCTCAGAGTTGCCAGGCAGGGCTGGGATCACACAAGTCTCAGGGAAGATTGCTTCCTAGGCAAGCAATGTCATTAATTTACCCAAGTTTGCCATACAAATGTTTCCTGTGTACTTTGACCTGAAAAGGTTGGGACCGTTGCCTTGATCATGATGTTTGCCATGGCCGTGCCTCTTTTCTCACCTTGGAAAATGGCTGGTGAGTCCTGTTCTTTAAGATACTGTGTGAGGGAAAGAGGATGATGGATTGAGGAAGACATCCATTCTCTCTTTGGAAAATACCTCCTCAGTTTTGGTTAACCACTCCTTCTCTCCAGGCAGTTTGGTTAGGGCTGACTCTTATCTCCTGGCTTCAGGGGCTACCTGGGGCCCAAATGTCCAAGTCTACCAGTGATGAGTCAATCCCTGAGTTTTTGTTGAATCATTGGGGAGGAGCCAATTAAAACAAGTCTGCCAAGTGTCCCGGCTCTTTGTGCAAATCATGTGTAGTGTTTGAGCATTTCCTTCTTCTTTCTGGATCTCAGTTTCCCTGTCAGTAAAATGGGGTAGTCAGGCCAACAGGTGATCTGTGGTTTCCTCATGGGTCTGCTACTTGTCTGAGGGAGTCAGGAGCGCAGTTATCTGTTCTCTGTCCAATAAAAGGCTACAAATGCTGCAGTTTGCTCTTTATTTTTAGACTTAAGTCAGCTAGAGGCACACAACAAAGCAGAGGACAAGAGGAGGTCCAACCCCAAGTGCAGTGCAGGTGGGCTAGGGGGCCAAGGCAGCTGGCTTCTCAGGCGTAGGTGGTGACATATTGGGGCCCCATGTTCCCGAAGTAGGAACGTTCCCACTCACTCATAAGCTCGAAGTGCACAGGACGGTGACAGAAATTGCAGGCAGCCACAGACACATCCTGGAGGGGCAGCCCCACTTCAGTCCAAGCTACCAGCAGCTTCTCTGAAGGTGGTAGGGAGAGGGAAGGGAAAGAATTAGTTAGACTAAGTCTTCCAAATCCTTGTGTCACGGTACAGATAGGCCAAGATACTGATACCCTCAACCTCTCGAGGTGCCTCGGGGCCAGAAACAGCCTCCTCTGTTTTCTCCAGTGTGTGCCATGAATGTTACCATTTATCTGTGGGTGCCAGGATGTATAAAAGATTGGGAAGCGCTCCTTTGACACAATCTGAAGCCATACTGTTCTGCCCTGGACCACTCTCTAAGTACGGGATGTGCTCTGGTCTGAGAAGTAAATGTATTTGCTTGGAAACTCTTAGCCTGGTGAGGAAGATAACACTGACAGTAACCACACTGTGCCACTGGTGCTGTGACCAGGGGTCCTAGAGGATGTGAGAACCCAGAGGAGGGAACCTGACCCAACTCTAGGAAGTGCCTCAGGTATGTGTCAGGGCTATGTTCTTGGCCTTTTCTATGTTCATGCCCTTGGTAATCTCATCTAGTCTAATGGCTTTAAATACCATTTCTATGCTGATGGTTCTGAAATTTTCATCTCCAGCCCAGACCTCTCTACTTATTTCCAGACTTTTATATCCAATGGCCTTTCTACATTTTTACCTGGATGTCTAATAGGCATCTCTAACTTATGAGTACAACTGAGCTACTTGTGTTCCTACCTTGTGCCAATCCTGCTCTACTTTTAGCCTTTCCCATCTCAATTGATGGCAATTCCAGTTGTTCAGTCCAAACATTTCGGAACCATCCTTTATTTTTCTCTATTACCCTACGTTCCATCTATCAGCAAATACCATTGGCTCCACCTTCAAAAATCTGACCACTTCTCACCACCTCCATTGCCATCGTCAGGTGTGAGCCAGTGTCATCTTTCACTTGGAATGTTACAAAAGCCCTCTGCTGGGTCTCCCTGCTTCTACTCTTGCTCCCTTTCAGTATATTCTCAGCATAGAAGTCAGAACAATTCTGTTAAAGCCTGAGTCAGATAAGTCAGTCCTCTGCTAGGTCCTTCCAGGGGCTCTGAGTAAAAGACCAAATCCTTCCAATGGCCTATAATACTCTACACAATCTGGCCCCACTTTGCCTGCATCTGCTCAATTTTTCGTCTCCCATTTGCTTACACCACTCCATCCACACTTCTCTTATTATTACTCAAATATACAAGGAATACTCCTGTGTCTTCCCTGCCTTAGGCTGTTCCCTCTGCCTAGGATGCCCTTCCCTGAGATATCTGCCCAGCTAACTTCTTCACCTCCTTCAAATCTTTGCTCGTGTCACCTCAATGGTCTCTACCCTTGCCACTCTAATACTGCAACTGTCCTCCAAACTAGTCCCGGGGGGCAGGGACTAGTTCCTATCCCCCTTATCCTGCTTTATTTTTTTCCCATAGCTCTTAGAACTAACATTGTGTTTAATTTGTTTATTTTAAAAATGTTTTTTGACTATCCCCTTCCACTAGAATGTAAGTTTCAGAAGGGTAGGAATTTTGTCTCTGGTTTGTTTACTATTAGATCCCCAGCACCTAGAAGTGTCTAGTACGCAGTAAGTACTTGGTAAATAGTTTTTGAAAGAATGAATGAAAGGATGCCTGAATTAAGTCTAGAAAATGAAGGGAAGTAAGCCAGGGGAGGGGATGAGGAAGGGCATTCTAATCAGAAGAAAGTAGCATTAACAAAGTCCCAGAGGTAAGAGAGCAGAGCAAAGTGAGGGAAATGCAAGTCATTTATTGTAGTTGAAGACGTAAAATGCCTGTGGGGAAGAGGTGAGAGCAGAGAGATCACCATGTGGTAGGCATTGAATGCCATGCCAAGGAGCTTTGACTCTGTTCTATAGGCTAGTGGTCTCCAAATTTTGGACCATACATCTCTATCAGTACAAACATTTTAGCATGTACCTCTGATCTCTGTATATTTATTTATATCCTATATACATGTTTCATTGTCAGTCTGTATATGAAAGATCAATATCAGTAATGCTTAATTTCCTATTTTTAATGTTAAAAATAAACACAACATTCTAATATGTATTCTAGTCTCTCACCCTATAGATCATATTGCATACCTCATCTTGGAGGCCACTGCTCTAGAGTCTGGACAATAGGGAAACGAAGTGGTTTAAGCAAGGGAGCAATATGGTCAGGTTCTTAGAGAAATCTCTCTGGAAGTCAGTGTGGAGAAGGGATTGGAAAGGATTAAGAGAGATGCAGAAAAATTAGGAAGAAATCATGTTGATATGGATTTAAAAAGTGGTGGGGAGAAAAGACAACAGATTTGAGAGAGATTGAAGAGAACATTTGCAGGATTTCAGGGTGGGTTGGCTGTGGGATTGAGGGACTGGTGGAGCCATGGTGGATGCCTCTCATATATTTTCCTGCAAAAGCCCAGCCTACATGGACATTCAGACAACTGGAAGTTCTGAGAGCTCTGAAATCGAAGCCCAGAGCAATAAAGAAGACTGAACAAAAGGCCTGGGAGTCTGGGTCATTAACTCAGGAGGCAGCAGACCTAGTGCTTATGACCACGGAGATAGAGACAGATCCCCAGTTCCAACCTAGTAGCTGTGTGACCTTGGGCCAGTGACTATATATTTTTATGCCTCAATTTCCACATATTACAAAATAAAAATCAGAAGAACATCTCAACCTCATGAAGTTATTGTGAGGATTAGAGGAGTTAATACATGTAAAGTGTTTAGAATAGTGTTTGGCACATGGTAAGTACTCAATAAATGCTATCCAGCATTATTTAATGTTTTTAAGTGAATGAATAAATGGCGCCTACTTACCTTGTCTTCCTTGAACTCTCTTTCCTATCTCTAGATCATTGCTCATGGAATTCCCTTATTCTGGAATATCCTCACACCATAGTCACATGTACTTTACTGTGCAACACAAAAACTTCCTCACCCACGAAGCCTCTCCAATTTCATTCTTCCCACTCTTTCCAGCCATAATGAGCTCACTCCCTCTAGCTTCTGAAACAGTAGAGCTCATCATACTGGACCAGTATATCTATGTCTGGCTGCTCTGCTAGATCATAAAACTGTACCTAACAGAAATCCAGCAAACTTTAGGTGAATTGACTAAACTGTAATTTTCAGGGTAAAATTCAAAAACTATTCAGGCTTACAAGCCTGTCAGTCTAGTCCCTTGTTTTGCATTGTGTTGTCTTTGTAGACTCAGATTGACACTCCCCTCCCCAATGTCATTCCTACTACCTTACATCCCAATGACACCTGCTTATTATTCTTAATATATCCCAAGCTGCTTCTCACCCTCTTCCTTATCTTTCTTCATCCTCTCCCCTCTGCTAGAAATAATTATTCCACACCCTCTTTCATCCAATATCACTCACCTTGCAAAACTCAGCTCAGATGTCACCTCCACTAGGAAGCCTGTCCTGAATCGTCAGGGTGGGTCAGGACCCTCTTCTCTGTTCCCACAACTCCCCCATGTACTGCTTTTGTTAAGCTTTGATCACCCTTTAATATCATTGTTTGTGTCCACCATGGTGTCCCCAACCAAACTGGAGCCTTACAGGTCTAGGGTCTGTTTCTCATTCATTTGTGACCCTAGTATAGGGAATGGCACACAAGAGATGTTCCAGAAGTATTTTTGAACCGCATGGTCTCTGTGCTCTCAACTTCTCCTTCAGATCCTGGGGCTGAGGGGAGGGCGAGTGCTGTAGGCATCCATATCGAGAACTTACCCACAAAATCTTCCATCATCTGAGGGCTGTGGTGCGGGGAAGGTGCCAG